TGCATATATTTATTTATTTATTTATTTATTTGTATACATTTTAAAATGTTTTATTTTTTATTAATTTGTGATCAAATACTGTTTTCTAAACAAAACTAATTTTCTAAGACTATTTTTATGATAGGCCACATTACCATCCATGTTTTTTTCTCCAAGTCATTGTGCAATGTCGCTACATTTTTATAAATAATCCTAAGTAATGAATATTTCGTAATTTTGAGTCCAGATTCAACAACAGTTTAACGAATGTAATTGTCAAGTTTTAAACTTAAATATTGATTAACCTATTTATTGTGTAAAATGTAATAACTGAAGTGCTATAATTCTGTATTCTCCTCTATATGAATTCTGAAATATTCTAAGATTCTCATTTTATAATTTAAAAAAAAAATTATAAAACATATAGAGAAGAAGAAGTATTTTTTATTTAATATATTTTTCAGACACTCAAATTTAAAATACGAAAAATTCGTAAGAATACAAAATAATATTTTTTTTACCAGAGTGATTTCGTTATTATTATTGTTTAAGTTTTTTTATGTGTCATATTCCTTATTATATGCGAATAGATAAGTTATTACTACATAAATATTTTTTTAGTAAATGAAAATTAAGGGAACCACCGCTTCACCGCGTCATCGACAGATTGAAACCTATTACATATCAGATTACACATTAAAGATTGACGATTGCGAATTGGAAATTAAAATCCAACAAACCAGAATTAAAATTAAATTTGACGAGTTCTAATTTTTAGCATGTAATCTTCAATTTTCAATAGTCTGAATTTAAAGACCATATCAAATTCAATAGAGATTAAAAATTGTGAATTAGAGATTAGAGTTCAACAGATCAGAATCAATTGGATTAAATTTATCTGATTGATCGAATTCTAAACTTTAATTAATAATCCTTAATCTTCAATGAGTAGGCTGATATGAACTTAACGTGATGAACGAGAGAAGTGTCTACGAGAGAGCTGCCAACGAGCTGCCGCTTTCTCCCCTTTTAATGTGCTCGTAGTACAATCTTAAGGAGTCTCTAATATTACCAAAAATCGAATGCTTTACTAATGTGTTTAACGGAATGTATGTATGTGGATGAATGTGTCGGCCGAACGAACGGCCAACGTCATTGCTCTTCCAAAGCGATGCGCGCGTGCTACGTTTCATCGTAATAGATCATCTATTGCGATCCTTTGTGCCTCGAGGTTCGCGCAAATCGAGATTCTAATAATAAATCAGTCAACCTGGTCAATCTTATTAATTTAATTTTGATTGATTCAGCCGATTTTGATTCCATATCCACATTACGCTGCGAATTGTAAAGCGACGAAGAAGCATGGTGGTTATTTTGTGAATAATTTTTTTTTTAATTTACACGAGAATTAATTGGGTTTTTGAAAAGATCAATCATAAATGACGCGCATCGTGATCGGTTTGTGTGGATCTTTGTATCTCTAGACGAATGTGCCATGATATAACATATTATATGTATCGCAAAATGACGAATTATATATAATATATATATGTAAAGGTATATAAATATATGTTATATATATTGCATACATATATATATATATATATATACAAAAACATAGCGATCTTTACAAATATAATAATGCATTGTTTTAACGATTTAGAGCTATGGCATACAAAAAACTTAAAGCAGTAAGATGTAAGTAATAAGGAAATCAACATGTTGGATTGGCTACTGCTTATGTATAATCTTACAGACTGTGATTGGTCAATTCGCTTACTGCTTACATTTTACTGCTTAAGTTTTTTGTGTGCCATGGCCCTTATATTATATAGAGGATATTTTTTTAATAGTTATTCTGCAATTGTTTCTTATACAAAAACATATAGAAATATCTTTTAGATCTATTTTTCACGGAATGTTACAACGTTATATCAACATTATACAATGTTCTTTTTACTTTTTATTATTAATCTTGATTACGCGACCAGAGATATTATTATTATTATATTATTAATCTCTTTTGCCATTATATAAAATCCAGATATTTATACACACGTAATCAATAAAGAGTTTCTAACACTCGCTGCTTCTTATTTCTCCAAATATATAATATTCTTCGAATTTTATTATCCTCTCTGTCTCTCTCTCTCTCTCTCTGTCTCTCTCTCTCCCTCTCTCTCTCTCTCTCTCTCTCTCCTTTGAATAAAATTAGAATTCTAATAGTAAACAAACTACATTTAAGTTGTAAAGAAAATTTAAATGAATAAAAATGAATCAACTTTTAGAGTTCTCCACCATCTCCACCAATTTTTATTAGTAGTCCTCTTTTTCTCAGCAAAGTCCTCTTTTTCTCACATCAAGTTACATGAATATATATATGTTACGTATATATATATATATATATA